TAACCAAGCTGTGTTACCTCTGCACAATAACCCTGGCGAGTTTAACAGCCAGAATCACTATGTCCGTGAACACCCAACATGAGATGAATAGGTTATGATTTCGAAACAAAAAAGCACAGGCAACACGTGGAAGCGTTTTGAAAGTTGAGTCAAAGAAGAAGCCACAGTCAAGCAAGACATGATTTTCGTGATGCCCTCCTAAATTTCTTTTATGGAACTCACCACGTGGTCCTGAATAATTTGAAAAAGAAGCAAGACCTTGAACAGGCGAACAAGAAAGAAAGAAGCCTGTGTAATCCTCTTTGCTGGTTCTAAAGGCACAGAATCCTGCAGGTGGAACAGAACACTGGCTCACGTCTTACCACCTTCTTCACCTTCCTGCAAATGTGCCATGTACAGAACTGATGATTCTCCACATTCCAAATCTCAGGACTATCTTCAGTGCGTTCCCCTCTACATTCTCCCTTCCGCAGCACAGAATTAAGGAGAACATCTTGCCTTTCTGATAATCAGACATTTATCTGTTTCTGCACTCAATTCATAAGTTACCTTCCCTGAACGAGGTTAAAACAAAAGAGGACAAGCTTCACACAGGATCACAGCTGAGCTGATGGGTGAAGCTGAGAACAGCCAAGCAGAAAGTCCCTGCACCGTCTGGAGACCGGCACAATGTGGCCACCGGCAACGCATCTCCAGCTTTATACTCTAAGCACGTAGTACAGTGAGGGCACTTTGTCCTCAAACCAGATTGATAAGGAATGAGGAGTTCCACAGCCTGGCACCCATCATGGCCTGGCTGCTTTCTTTTTCTTTCTTTTTTTTGAGATGGAGTTTCGCTCTTGTTACCCAGGCTGGAGTGCAATGGCGCGATCTCGGCTCACCGCAACCTCCGCCTCCTGGGTTCAGGCAATTCTCCTGCCTCAGCCTCCTGAGTAGCTGGGATTACAGGCACGCGCCACCATGCCCAGCTAATTTTTGTATTTTTAGTAGAGACGGGGTCTCACCATGTTGACCAGGATGGTCTCGATCTCTTAACCTCGTGATCTACCCGCATCGGCCTCCCAAAGTGCTGGGATTACAGGTGTGAGTCACCGCGCCCGGCTGACCTGGCTGCTTTCTAATTGTGTGATGCTGGTGACTCGTCTCCAAGCCTTAATCAGCTCAGTGGGGATAGTAAAACCTCCTGGCCTTTCTTCAGATCTCCTACAAGAACCACGGCACAGAATATGCCTCCTAAAGACCACAGTTTGCTGTCTTATCATTGGCCCCAGAGCTGACTCCTGGGGAAAACAGGCAGCAGAGAGTATGCTGGCACCTGAACACACAGCCTGCTGTGCCTTTCCACCCTTCTTCAACGTTCCTCATGCTCAGTGTCAAGTGAGTCTCTCCTGGCAGCAGCAAATGTGCGGGCGGCTGGTGAAGATGGCATGAGTGGCCCCAAAGCCTGGCAGGTGAATGGAATTTCTCCAGCTACTGGTATTTAACGCTTTCAAAACATGTGAAATAAAGTCAACTCCTAATTACGTGGGCTCATGGAGGGGAACAGGCAGTCAATCCGTCAACAAGCAGGCTCTGAATCTCTCTGCTGGGCAGCATCAGCCTCATCTGGAATTCAACATGGTTCACAGTGAGTTTTGGGATTCCCTCCCTGGTTCTACATACTCCCTTCCACGTATGCTTTTCTGAGGCTAATAACGAAATTAGTCACATGATGGGATGGGCTTTGGGCACTAGATCAGAGTTTTCTGTGCCAGTCTGGGGTTGCAAACGTGATATAAACAATCCACAAAATGCACATCCCAACCTCAAAATTCAGGAGTCCATTTTACTAGGGGTTTTTTTTTTTTTTTTTTGAGATGGAGTCTCGAGCTGGATTCCTGCTCCATCACCCAGGCTGGAGTGTAGTGGTGCGATCTCAGCTCACTTTAATCTCTGCCTCCAGGGTTCAAGCAATTCTTATGCTTCAGCTTCCAAGTAGCTGGGATTACAGGCACACACCACCATGTAGAGACAAGGGTTTGCCATCTTGGCCAGGCTGGTCTTGAACTCCTGACCTCAAGTGATCCTCCTGCCTCAGCCTCCCAAAGTGCTGTGATTACAGGCACGAGACACAGTGCCCGGCCTCCATTTTACCAGTTTCTATGTAGAAACTACTGTTCTATCAAATAGGGAGGATGTTTTTGATAAAAGAGCAATTTCAGGAAATTATTTTAAAGGACAAGTTTATGTTGCAAATAAAGGCATGTATTTAGATGGAGGTTTAAAGAGAAGAACAATGCATTCTCAGCTTCCTTTTTTGTGGTTTTATATTTTAAATCTGTTATCCAGCAAAGCGGCACAGCAACAGACTCTGAGCAGGCGCCTCCTCTCAGCAGGGGCCAGCCCAGGGCTGCCCACAGGGTAGACTCAGAGTGACCGCACGGGCACGGAAATTAGAGAAAAGCTGGCCCAACCACTCCAGGTGAGAAAACCGAGCTCAGGAAACAGATCCCATTCAGTGGCTGATCTCATGGGCCCTTTGTCCTTCCCATCAGTGAGTCCTTCAGCAAGGACTGACTTGTGTTGCATTCCACGAGATTTCAACTTCCCCGTGAGTGAGCTTTATGAAACGTTTCAGGGCTGAATTTCATCTCCTCCAAGTCAGATTGTTATAGGCCATTTATGCTCCGTAGTTACAATTAGAAAACGAAAACATCTTCTCAGACAGAAGAAATGGGGTTGCTGTGGGATGTTTATCCTCCACCCTCCTGGCTAGAATCTGGGAGAGTTAGAACTCTGTGGATTACAATTTCAGACTCTTAGGGACAAGTCTGTCCCTAAGACACACAGCGATCGAGTCCCTCAACATCTAGTGCTGACTGAGTTCCTGCCGTTTCTGGCAGGACAAAGGCCCTGGGCAAGCAAATGTACAGCTGACTAGAAAGCGCAGAAGAACAAGTGCAGGAAGGGGCTGTGCTCCAAAGCGAAAATCACCCTAGACTTCCCCGGGGCCGAGGAGACGGGCCTGCCAGTGTATTCCAGTGAGTTTCGAATAATGAAGGACCATTGCTTTCTATGGCATTACAGAGATGGGGTTTTGTTACATAAATAAATCAATATCAAAATATATTTTGACTGGTAAATACAGAAATATGGCAATGTATTCATTCTAATGAAAAGATGACGGTGTTTTAATAGCTACTGCAATGATAAGGAGAAAAAGGCCACATAAACCACCTATATATTTTCTTCTGTTTGTTTGAGACAGGGTCTGCCCCATTGCCCAGGCTGAAGCACAGTGGCACAATCACAGCTCACTGAAGCCTCAACCTCCCGGGCTCAAGTGATCCTCCCGCCTCAGCTTTTGAGTAGCTGGGACGACAGTCATGCGTCACTATGCCTGGCTAAATATTGTATTTTTTTGGTAGAGACAGAGTCTCACTATGTTGTCCAGGCTGGTCTCAAAGTGATCTGCCTGCCTCGGCCTCCCAAAGTGCCAGAATGACAGGTGTGAGCCTCTGCACCTGGGCATACGTGTTCCATAGACCCTGTCCTTCTGTGCAGATGGAATGAAATTAGTGAGTTCAGAATAGTCTGACTCACCTTTGCCTGGTTCCCCCGATGCCCCGTGAGAGAGGCACTGGGGTACCGTACCTACTGCTCCCTCTGAAGGTGACAGTATGGAGCCACAGAGGTTGACAGTTTGCCCATTACTCGCCGTTAAACGGCACAGCTGGAGCATCCCAGAGTTCTGGGGACAGCTCAGCCCTGAACGTATGCAACACTGCCTCCACCTCCGGAGCAAGCAGGCCCACACAATTGTCGCCCAGGCCTCCCCGGAGGCGCGTTCTACACTAGTTAAGTAACGCAGCTCCTTCCACCTCACCATCCGGGATGCTTTGGTTGCTATTTTTGCATTTATCTTCTGATTTTTTTCTCCTTACTCCATACTCTGCATTGATTTCTGGGCTGAAGGTTTGGTTGTGTCACCGACCACGCAGAGCTGTGCTGGAACTGCCAGCTTAGTGAGCCTGCATCTGCCCAGGGCCTGAGTAGCGGAGTTTAGGTCCATTCTGAGGTGGAAAGGAGATTAGAAAATTAGGAAAATACAGGGCTCTGGACCCATGGGGTTCGCCACTCCAGGTGCCTGGGAATCCCGAGGGACATGTGTGTGTAGGAGGGCAGAAGAGAGTTGGGGGCTGGGACTAGGATGTGCAGGGAGGAAGTGGGGACGCAGGACAGGCCGGACCCCCTGACGCTTCCACGGGCGTGGCCCTGTGTTTAGGTGGCACTCACGCCCTCCCCTTGCCAGGACCAGGCGGAGCAGTGTGAGTCCATTTCCCCTCTTGCTTCAAATGCCTCAGACACATGTTGCTACACTGTGGTCTGTTTCCTTTCACGAGAGGGGAGAAGTCACCCAGGGGCCCTTCAGCTGGGTAGCTCTCCTAGGCACAGAGCCAGCCTCTCAGCCTCAGCTGCCTGCAGCGCTGTAGGTGGTCTGGCTCCGAGAACGTCTGTTCTCACCGCCAGCATGAGATCCCTATACCATCCTGTCTCCCTCGCCCTCGACTACCAGTGAGGCACTTCACCAGAAGACCCCGAGGTTCCTTCTAACTCAGAGCCCTGCAGTTCAGCGCAGGTGAAGGGGAACCCGGAGGGTGAAGCGGCACTGGGAGTGGGAGGCATGTCTCACCTGCCAGCCGACGCTGTCCCTGGCTCTGCTCTTGACTTCAGCATTGCGCTTTCCTGCCACCTCTAACTCAGCAGTGCTGCTGTTTGCCTTATTTCCAGTATCATGGGAAATTTTCAGAGCAATCTGTCCATATGCACAGTTCAGTGATTTCTGAGTCAACAGAGGTTAAAATTATCCCAGCAGAATCGCTCTCACTACTCTATTAATCTTGAGTATGGATTAGCATGGGCATTTTCTCCAGTGCCCGTCATTGCCATTTTCCTCTAATTTTAGTGCTAGACAGAATTATTGAGATCATGCATTCAAAATTTAATACATGAAGAGACTAGGTGCCGGGAGTTGGAGCACCTGCTTGCCGTTTGTGCCCTCCACAGGGACGGGTCCAGAATTGTCACCTGGTTTTCCTACCTCTCAGGACTGTCCTCTACCTTTCCAAACCTGTACATGCTCAGATGGTCCCAAAGCAGTTATCTCAGAGATCATTTTCTGAGACACAGGAAGATCTCTGTTCAGCAGGCATTTATCTGCTTCAAGTCGGAAAGACAGATCTCGGCCTCACGTCCTGCATGCTTCCTCTGCTGGAGAGACAGGAAGCCAGCTTGAAGGCGGCTCCACTCAAAAGCCACGCAAGAAAAATCCTTCCTCAGACCCCTCATGTGAGTCAGTGCTCAGGAGGACACAGATGCACAGCTGGGGATGGAGCGGAGGGACGGACTCCTGCACTAAGTGCTACGTGACACATTCCAGATCGCTTCCTAAATAACTGCCTCCGATTGGAAGAGCCTACTTCCGGGCGCCCGATTCTTTCACTGAACGGCAGGAGAGGCGCGTTATCTCAGAGCACAGCACACCTGCCTCTCAAGGCACCCCTGTGGTCCCTAGGGGGATCCTCTCCTCCCTGACAACTCATATGCCTCTTTTGCTCAATAGATGCAGACAATCTAATTCTACTTTGATCTCCTTTTTCCTTTCTCTTCTAAACCATAGGGTGTTTTCCTACCCTAGCCACCCCCCCGCGACCACGAAAACCATGAAGCTTCAAGCGCTGGTGATGTACCCACATCAGATCCTCCTGATGGCACACACGCCTCTCCCAGGTCCTGCGGGCAGAAGCGTCGGGGCTGCTGGGCACGGGGAAGGCATCCTTGGGCTGCTGGGAGCCATGAGGACAGGTGAGGAGGCTTCTGAATTTTGCTTTCAGATACTGATAAAATACTCAAAGTGGCTCTTAAGAGTTGTTGAAAATAAATGCTGCCTGGCATATGATCTTTCTTTTGCTTACAGAAGCATTTAGAATTGATTGTCCTGTCTTTACACCTCCAGGTTCGGGGTGCATGTGCAGGTATGTTACGTAGGTGAACTCGAGTTACAGGGCTTTGGAGAACAGGTGAATTTCTCACACAGGTCATAAGTATCATGCCCCAGGACTTTGTTTTTTCAAACAAAGAAAAGCAGAAATAGTGCACCTTGGTAACCATCTTCCTGCACTGCATGCACTGGCCAGAGTGGCCGAGAGGACCTGGGGTTTGTGTGCTGCCCTTTGCCACTTCCTTATGACTTTTGGAGATGGCGCAGGTCCGTGGTTCTGTCTGTATATACCCTGCATGTGGGAAAATGGTGCGTCATGTCCTCGGGTCCTGCTGAGATGGAATTTCACCAACTCATCCCTTAGAGAGGAGAAAGGCAGGGTCGGCCTGGGGGAAATCTCTCCTCCCAGGCTGGGCCTTCCCTCTGCTCCTCATCTGCCGTGGTGGACGGAGGAGCAGACACACCTGGAGAGCTTACTGCTGGGGCCGGAGAGGATGCGTAGCACTCACTCAGAATAACTCAAGAGCTGCATGGTCTGCGACACCCACGTCTGCTGGGCCTTGCAGTGTCTGTGTGATTTCTTCTTTGTTCTTCTTGACGCTAATTACTGGGGAGATGGTTTTGGTGCATTGTATGCAATTACCCCAAATACACTCCCAGCCCATTCTGCGTGTGCTGTTCTCTCTATGGTTATTTCTGGGCCTCAGTCTTGTTACCATAAATGTCTGTGCGTTGTGCAGCTCGACCTACTTCTCCACCAATAGAAGGGAGTCTCTGGACAGGAGTTTGTTTCCCTGTGCCTTTGCGTCGGCTGCTGCCTTTTACTTTCTGTCTGTAAATCCATCTCCTCTGCGTAGCTGGGACCAATGCCTTCCTCAGCTCCAGGAAAGGCATGTTCATTGCTCCAATCCCATCCATGTACCCAGGGCAGGGCTCAGAAACTCGGGAAGGCGCTTGTCTGCCCCTCACGCATATGGCCTCACCAGAGGATGCCCTGCTCAGTCGCATATTCCTAAAGCAATCTTGGTTCCTCTCACTGGCTGAAAGGAAGCACGCAGGCCAGACACTGCTCACACTCCCACGGCCACTGACAGTGTAAGGTAATAGTGGCCTCAGAGAGGCGCTGGCTCAGGTTGTGGAAGATCCCCTACAGCTGGCTGAGCTGCAATGACATATCTCAAAGGAATGATCTTCACGCGGGAAACTGAGGCACCGAGGAAACTGCTGATCCAAGACAGGAGGCATGCGTGAATTTCCACCAGCCATGTATTTACCTGAGTCAGGTATTGAGATGCTTAGACACTTTCATCAAACTGAAAACTGCAAAGTCTTTGGAGAGGGCAACATAGCACAACCCTTTTACCAGGTCAAAGAGAAGCATAATCATCACAATTTTGCACAGGCAAGCTCTTCCGGGTGTGGCAGTGGGGGGAGAAGGAGGGAACTAACAGAATAATACTTCTTCATTTAACAGCTATTTTTTGTCATACTTAGAGATGAACGATGAACCAAAGAGAACATCCTTGTAGTCATGGGAGTTCCACCGCATTTGGTGAAAGAAATAAAAATAGAGAGTAAATAAATGCTATGATGCCAGGTAGTGATGTGTGTTCCACTAGAAATGAAGCAGAATCAAAAGACAATGGATGGGACGTGGGCTGGGGGGTCAGGCAAGTCCTCGTTGAGAAGATGCCACTCGAGCAGAGACCTAAAGAGGCAGGAAAGTGAGCAGTGTCGGGGAGAGTGTTCTGGGGGAGGAAGAGAGGGTGTCAGGGTGCATGGTTGCATGCCTGGAGCTCCAGGAGCTGTGGAGCCACGTGCTGGTGGAGTGTGCTGGAAGGGAGGTGGAGGGCTGTGACATCGAGGCTGGGGCAAACCAACATGACATCCAGACGTAACCCTGGATGCCTCCTGTGGCTGTCAGGGAAGGCTGAGCCAATCACACGCACAGTATAGAGGGGAGCAAAGGCACCAGCAAGCAGAAGCCACGTCAGCTGCATCAGTGTGCCTGGGAAACTCCCTGGAGGCCCATGCAGGACCTTTGACTGACATGCTCGGCAGGTCTCACACTGTTCTCATCACCTTGTGGATGAAGGAATGGATCTGAGGAGGTTTCCGCGTATCGTTCAAGGTCACATGGCTACAACATATATCTGGGAATCCAAATCACATTGGTCTGATGAACCAGGCAGTTTCCATGGCCCCTACGGGGCTGACAGGGTCCTTCCATAGAGAACCCAGGCGAGAGTTCAGAGAGCCACAGAGATTACCCCTGGGGCTCCCAGGTGATAGAGAAGACCCGAGCCCTGGGCATCTGCTTCTACTTAGAGGAAGTTCAGGCAGCACCGATTCCAGCCAATATGGAAGAAATGCCACTTAGGCTGAAGAAAACCCAACTTAGGCCAGAGAAAGACTGAGGGATAAGGATGTCGGACTTTAAGTTGTTAATATGGCTTCACTTTAAACAGTGAACAAAAATTCTTTTCCCGAGTCCTTCAGAAGACTGAACAGTTTTGGATTCAAAGAAAGAGGAACCCAGTGGCTTAACATGGGAGGGAAGTTTTTTTTAAGCGATTTGCCTCATTGAAAGACTGGAGCGGATCACACGAGACTGTGATGTGTGCAGCTTAGCGGGGACACGCATGTGCATGTTCAGAGGGGGCTCCTGGAGCACCAGAAGAGACCGCACTGAACTCAGCGGCAACCAGGAAGCTCGTGTGGACACCACCTAGCACAGTGCCGCCGGCCACGCTGGGCAACCCCCATGCCACTGGTGTGGCCGAGGAAGCGAATTTCTAACATTATTTGGTTGTAATGAACCTGACTTATCTACATTTAAATAAACTCATTGGTCTAGGGTTTGCTGTGGTGGGCAGCACGGACGCAGGGTGGAAGTTCAGACGGAGCTGGGCTCTAATTTTGCTTTTTATAACACATATATTCAACCTCATCTATGGCATTTATGTATATGTATTCATATGACATATATTTTCTATAACCGCCCACGAGCAGAGTTATAGAAAGCGTGTGGGACAGCGTTTCCACGTTCTTGTGTGACACAGTGACGTTCACTGCTATCTGTTCTATGGGCTACAAGGTAAATGAATGTAGTTTCATTTATTTATAAAGTTTTGAGGGTCTTTTTAGTTGATGATATTTAGGTTTCTGGCTTACGTAAATTAAGGGATTAAAAACCAAGTCATATTCTTCCACCCAGAGAATGAGCTGTTGGGAGTCAACAGCTACTCAGTTATAGATAGAAACACATGAACAATTACACCACTGTCTCTGTCTCTCTGTCTTCTTCATGTTGTCTCTCTCTCTGTCTCTCATGTGCAAACACACATACACAGGCACACACACACGCGTGCATGCACGTACACACGCACACATACACACACACACACACACTGGTCAAAGACTTTCTGGATCAGCTGGACCACAGTGAGCACTCCTCGTCCCCAGAGTGATTACTTTTACTCTCAGTGCTGGGAACCCAGGCAGTAGACATAAAACTTTGTGAAAATTCTGGTCCTTCTGTTTTCCAGAACGTGTTTGCAATACATGGGTGCTCACATAAATGTGCTGGGTGGGGAGGGAGCTCGAGAGGACAGCTGGGCTCCTTTTCTTTATCTCTAGTCTACCATGTTTCACCCATGTCAGAGAGAAGACTCTGATCTGCTTCTACAGAGCTTGCAGACACAACACAACCATTTTTCTTAGTAATCTAATTTAAAGTTTAGCGAGTCTCAATATTAAAAAATGCATGTTTTTATTTTCAAATGAAATCCTTAAAGCCTCCACCTCAGTTTGTGATTTCTAATTCTGCCGCCTGTAAAGCACCATACTTTGTATTTTTACATACACACCTCTTCTGTACTGTATTATGCATTTCTCCTGGAAAATGGAGACTTTAGTTTTTATGTCTGGATGCAACCCAGTGCCCCTCTGGGCACAGAGAAAAAAAATACACACTGTGTTTTGAAATGAGCTGCCATGATACTCTGAATCTTTTAAACTCTTGCAGCCTTAATATACGGGGTACACTTGCTGCATGTGGGGAGGGGGTCACGACGTCAGGGCCAGGGTCACAGAAGGCCTGAATAAACACGCGGGAGAGGAATATCGTGCTGAGACTGCCCTCGACCACAATTGTGACGGTGTCGTTCTGAACTGCTTCACATCCGTCAAGCGTTTTCATTTCTGCAACTTCTTTAAGCTTCAAAACAAGACAGCGAAGTGAAGGAAGGGCACGAATTGTTAGCCTGATCTTAAGTGAAACTGAGGTCCTGTGAGATTAGGTGACTTGCTTAGGGCATGTGGTACAGCCAGCTCTGGAAACACACCTGATTCCTCAGCTCCATCCACACTTGGAAAACTGGAACTTGGAATGAAACCTAAACTCACAAGGCATACCACTGTTATCTTAGAGTGGACCTTAGAAAGAAATGGAATGAAAACATGGTAGACCCCACTGTTGCGCATTTTCTGTTTTCATTATTATGGTAAAAGGAGTTTCCCCAGGACTTTATGCATCTACCTGCATCTTTCTTTTTTTTCTTTTTAAGATGGAGTTTCACTCTTGTTGCCCAGGCTGGAGTGTAATGGTGCAATCTCGGCTCACTGCAACCTCCGCTTCCCGGGTTCAAGGATTCTGCCACCTCAACCTCCCGAGTAGCTAGAATTACAGGCCTGCTCCACCATGCCTGGCTAATCTTTATATTTTTAGTAGAGATGGGGTTTCGCCACGTTAGCCAAGCTGGTCTGGAACTCCTGACCTTAGGTGATCTGCCTACCTTGGCCTCCCAAAGGGCTGAAATTACAGGCATGAGCCACTGCACCCGGCCTCTAGCTGCATCTTAAATGTACATGACATAAAATTTGCAGCCAGTTTTTTGCTTCGTGTCAAAGTACCTGAAGGTTTATGAAATAGAAGGTAAAATGATATTTCTATAATTTTGCACAATTAGTTTGCATAAAGAGAGTTTAGTTTTTTTTAAATCATATATTGACTCCTAAAAGCATCTAATTCTCTCTTTCCCAAGATGCAATGCCAAGGACTTCAGTGTAGCTGCATGAGCCATGTCCTAAGAAGTGCCTCCGTGGGTGCAGCGAGATGCGAGTTTTCAAGATGAGAGAGATCATCACATTCTTTCTCCCCACCATGCCCACAGTCTTCTGGCTGAAGCCTTGCATGCTAAACATATCATCTCTGTTTCTATGTTGGTCTCAGAACGCACTGCCTTTCCTGCTGACTGCAGTGAAAACCGGTTGGTTAATTCTGCTTTTCACAGTCTGTCTGCGTTTCTACTTGCTTTCCTCATCAGGGACATTTCCCTGAGAAAGACAGGAGAGGATAATTGGCTCATCAGTATGGAGAACAGCATCCTGCAGGGACGTTGGGGAGATCAGAGGCCACGCTGCAGATGGCCCCACCCTCCACGCCGTCCTCCTGCGAACATGCAAGCCCGTGTTCCACAAATCCTCAGGCTGTGCTGGCAACTTGGGGCCTTGAAAGAAAACACACCCTGGGCACTTTACCATGAAGAAAGAAATGTTTCTGTGAGAAGGATTTTGTACAGCATGAGTTTTGCCTGGAATTCCCTTTAAATAAAGGGGGTGGGGAGTGGAAACGCCCTGTTAGAAAACTGACCTATGCACAGGACCGATTCACGAAGAGGACAGAGCCTGAAATTAGAATTGTACAGGCACAGATTGCTGGCCATCATGGTGATCCCACAGCCGACAGTAGAGTCATGGCACTCCTCCAACAAAGGTAGCCCGTTTGGCTCCCCACCCTGTCCCCACACTAACTCTGCCTCAGGGCAGCCTCCATGTCCTGCCAGAGCAGTCATAGCCATCAGGTCATGCATGGAGAAGGTCCTGACGTGACCACGCAGATACGCAGATTCCATCCCAAGCAGCTCCCTCTTCTAGACGCCAGCAGCCCAGGATGCCAAGGCAGGCTGTTGGCTCATTGATCTGGAGAACTCAACACAGGAAGCCAGGGAGACTTTAGAAAAGGAAGACACCTGCATTTCACCTGACTTAACCTCATGACCAAGTGGCAAGGCAGCCTTGAGATCCAATAAAGAGCAGTGAAGACAGGACCTCATCTATTCTCCAAAATATTCCAGAAACAGAGCATCTAAAGAAACACCTGCGTGCAAAAGACAGCCATATACACGGAAGCTTCCTTTACCCTAGAACGCACACTGCTAGGCTCTGCCACGTGAAAGGCTGGTTTCTGCCTATGGGAAGAGGCAGTGGCTACCATAAAGAATATCCATATGTGTGTATGTACATTTATTTAGAGATAGTTAGTAGACTAGAGTATGCATATAAACCATAACTTGTTAGGCATCATATACCCATCTCATATATATTTCTCAAAGCACAGGAATCCAAATAATATTTATCATAACATAAAAAGATCTGAGAGTAGAAAAATCTATGACTATTACACAATAACTTTCTTAACTTTAGGATAACAAGGCAGTTTTTAATTAGCGTGGACTTAGACTGTAACGGTGTATTCTGAAAACAAAATTCTTCACGCGAAAGAGCAGCCTATGATAGGTCTACTGTACAACAAACACGACTTTGCTTAATTAAATAGGAGCTTCATCTGAAATGGGTTCCTCAGGTATTGTCCCCTGTCATTCAAATAAGCAGAGGCTGATCAGGACACCATGAGTTCCATGACAAGGAAAACCATGCAAAGTGTTTGATTATCTATCCACCGCCTACAGAAAATTACACAGTCTTACATAGTCTCGGTTTCTAACTTGAATGATGAGACAAAAGGAGCTTCTGCCCTACCCATCCTATATAATCAACATGAAGATCAAACCGTGATTCAGTGTGCCCATTGGAAACCTACATTATTAGTACTGTTTTGGTTCAGGTCAGCAACAGCGCTGGAGGATCTTTGAAATTAAAATAAATACTTAATTCTTAAATTATAAATAATACTCCGCCTAGAACCTGTGGGCTCCTATTGTAATAATCTGGGAGTTTGTATATATTTGTTTTATCTAAAACAAAACCTCCCAGTAAAGTCCCCATTTCAGTTTACAATAGAGGTAAAAATACCCAATGGTTGAACAAGTAATGGCGTCCAGCTGGGATAAACTGCCTGAGACTTTCTCTCTGCACTCAAGGCTGAGGCCAGCGTGACCTCGGCCTAGCAGCTCCGTCACCATGCCCTGGTCTCTGCACTCAGACGGCCACTGTGCCAGGCAGGGTGGGCACGAGAGACACACTGGGCTCCGAGCTCTGACCACGTGGCTTCATTTTAACCTCAGGCCACTGTCTGTGCTTCTGTGTGTTAGAAAAGAGGCATAATCAACTTCGGGGGAATCTGCTACTGGCCCAGGGACATGGCAGTCACTGTGATGCTACCCGAGGAGCATGGGAGGCAGCCTCAGGATGCTGAGCTGCAACTCCAGCCATCAGACACAGGGTGGGAAACCCCAGCTTTTAGGGAACATGTGATTTCTGCCAAGCCTCACTGAAAGGGAGGACAAGAGGACGTCTCTGGTGTGTACGGTATGGGGTCTCCCGTACTTATGCCGCACATCTCACATTAAAGATGCTGCTGGCGTGGCAGACATGTACACTTGTTGATAGCGGTTTTGGCACTAAATTTAACAGTAAGGTAAAACATAATATGCTCAGCAAGTGAGGATGTTCAAACAGGAGACTGGCAGATGTATGCCTTTCAAAGCCTCCTTTAATACATTAAACGTAATTAGGAGTTTGATCACAGAACATGACTGCTCTATCAACAGAGCTATCCTGTTCCTTTGATATAGAAGCTGCTTGGAGATTTCTGACCCTGATGGGAATAAGAGACCTGGAGGTGCTCCATCCAGCTGGAGTACCTGCAGGTGACGCTGGCTAAATGGGGTCTTGAAACACCCATGTGGGGCTCCTCCGATGGAGATATCTTTCTCTGACAGAAAGGCTTTGTGGGTGTGTCTCCAGGATTCAGGCCTCTGAGGTGATTCATTCTTAGGAGAAATACATTTGTTTGCCTTAGAAATCAAAAAAGATTTTGGTGCCCTTCCAGAGAAACTGAGGCACTGGAAACTGGGTGGAAGGTCCCCCAGAGGGGCAGGCTGTTGGTTCTAAGTGGCTGCCTGGGACATGGGATTCTTGTGAGAGGCCCCCTGAAAGGGAGTGAGGTATCATACTCTGCTGCCAGGATGCTCGGGAAACTGGGTGCACATATCCACGCTGGTAGCAGGAAGGCTGATCTCACAGCATCGCACTGCGGCTGCACCCTTCCGAGTTCATTTGATTCCAAAGGCCATATCATAGGTATGATAGAAGTTACTTCTTTGGGGAGCCAGATGCTGAACATGAATTCTGAAACCAGGCACCCCACAACTGACTGAATTCTTTCGCGGTCCTGCTACCTTTCCATAGGCATTTGCAGCAGCTCCTCCTTCTGTGCTCTGACTCAGCATTTGCTGAGCACCTGAGTGGTGGCCACCATGCCAGGTCTGGCCACAGAGTGAGAAATCCTGTGTCCTGAGGCACACATCCACTGCCCATTTAGTTACATTTTTTCTGGCAAAAAGATCTTTAATGCTAGTTTGCTTCCCAGCTTTTAAAAACAATTATGTCCTAAGTGTTCAAGTCAGAATAAACAAACCCTACATAGACACATTCTAAAGTGAATTCCATAAGGCTTCTGGCTACCTTTCAAAGTGTATCACTTTGTATTTTTAAAGAACGATTATTTAAAATATGACCATAGACAAACCAAAATTGAATTTTTGATTCTAGAAAATGGAGAGCAAAACTTAAAATCTAGTTAAGGCCCCTGGTGTAAATGACACCTACTTACAGATCTCCTATCCACACCAAACACGAATGCCTCCTAATTTCCAAACAGGATGAGAACAGGAACTAGCCGCCATCTTTTTAGAAAGCCACGGTCAAGTTACAAATCATTCATCAGTCTACGCCATTGATGTGGTCACTCAAAACGACACTCACTTAATACAGCGTCCAGAAATAATTTGCCAGATTGATCTACTCTCCCCAACTTTCCCAATATTTTACTACAGAAATCTGTTATTTTAATTCTTAGCATCTCATGAATGACACTGGTGTCATTGCACCCCAAGCAGAACAGAGATGACGGTAAGTCTGTTGGTGTGTGTTCTGATAGGCTTTCTCACCTAGCGCTCTACCATAGCAAGACAAAAAATCTTGGCAGACTAATTTTAATTTATGCAGTGTATGTGTGTGTGCATATGCATCTATGTGTATATCTGTCTATCATCTATATGTCTCTCTGTGCCTGTGATATATGTACATGTAACTGACGGATTGTTTGCATAAGAATCTTAAGCCACTGTAACAATCTGGGGTTATTTCATAAAATGCAGGTTTCCTAGTACAAAGTATTCTGACCTCTGAAGGAATGGTGCTGATTTAAGCCTGCACATGAGATTATCAAGTAACTCACATCTCCCCAGTGTATGGAGGCTCTACCCACTGGCCGATCCAATTACCCTTGTGTCCAGAAATTAGTTCTCCTAGAAATCAGATTCTTGAAGAACTTTTGAGCCCAAGGGAGAAGGGTAAGAAAGAAAATTCCCTTCACTTTCAACATATTTTGGTATTTCTATGAGGAAAACCCTAAGCCAATAAAGACGATATCTAGGCTTTGCAAAAAAACACAAACACAAACAGAACACACACACACAAACCCAAAACTCCCACCTCTTTCTCAGAAGACATGACTTCTATGAAAGGGTTAGTGTTGAACTCGTATCGTGCATCTGACGGTGATGGGACCCTGGACACGGAAGCCACGTCACCGTGAACGCATTGCTGGGGACATCCCTGACATGCTTGACGGCCTTTCCCCTCGCGTGTCCCCCAGTGCCGGAAACCCCCGATCAGAAACGCAGCTCTCACATATGATGGGCTGATTGATTATCTCGTGTCAATAGTACTTCCTCTCGTCCCATTGAGGTGACCAGCACTAAGGCAAAGCCTCGGCAGTCTACAGACAAAACCCAGTCCGCCGCTTGATGCACCAGTCACCAGGCAGGCCTTCCAGCTCCCCCAAGGAGGTACCTGGGCTCAGCATTCCAACAACACTGTTTCGCCCACCATTGAATCTCACAGATAGGGCATTCAAGAAAACGTAACGTTAAAGACCAGGTCTGCTAACCTAACTTCCCTGGTAAATGTTGTTAAGCTAATCAAATAGGTACACCGTAAATATCTCAGCAAATGACTCACAGCCAACCTGAATAAAAACTAGACTGAAATGAAATCTGAAGTCTAGCAGAGAATCTGAAAAATTAGAAGTGTTCAGTTCACATAAGGAGTTAATTTTCTCAGTATTGACCCAGCAGAGTGATTTATTTACACGACAGTCATTCACAGTAACGGCCGGCATTTCACCTTGAACAGGGGACCCAAATCACCACTTGCTACTTTGCTAGTATTTTAAAGATTACCGTTTTCTTCTTCCTCCTCCTCTTCCTCCTCCTCTTCCTCCTCTTCCTCTTCCTCATCCTCCACATCTTCTCCATCTTCGTCATCGTCCTCCTCCTCCTCCTCAATCTCCTCCTCCTCCTCCCGGTCCCCCTCCTCGTCCTCCTCGTCCTCGTCCCCTGGCTCCTCATTGTCCTCGGAGTACTCCTCCCCCTCATCCTCCTCCTTCTCGTCCATGTCTTCAGTCCCATCACTGTCTTCACACTCGTCCACTGAAGAGCTGTCTGCTTTCACGGCAAATGGCTTTCGCTTGGGAGCGGGTTCCTGGGGCTGTTTATCTTGTGTTTTCCTTTTTTTCGCCAAGGGACAACCATATACACTAATAAAAAAAAGCAGAGAAGGCAGGGAAGAGAGAGAGGAAAAAGATCTGTGTTACTGTCTTTTAAAATCAGACCAATCAAGGTATTTAAGGCTTATCATGAATGTCATTAGCACAAACACCAGAGGGACGTAAGCATCCACGTTCCCCGCAGTGTGCTGAGATCTGTTAATGACGTGATAGTGCAAATAAATACAGCTCGCATTTGTCTAGTTACCACGAACATTTAGTCTCCTAGGTCCTCATTCCTCTAATTCCAGAGAACACGGAGATCCTACTAAAATTCATGAGGTTGCTTTGCATAATGCGTATAACATGCAATTGACAATACAATTTATTAAACATTTCACCAAATACACACTATGTATAATAGACATCTAAAGCAAGATTTATTTTAATCACATTATATTTACATATATATTTATGTAAAACATAAAAATGTCTTTGTCGTGAAAGAGCTTTGGATATATTTGGATTTGTGTATTTTGCAGATTAAATTATCTTTAGACTTGATAACCTACTGGAAGAAGACGAGCCTTAGTGCTTGTCAATGTTGTTATGAAAGCAACTGCATAATTCAAAGCTGTGCAGAACTTCCAAGGCTTAGACATTATTAGTCCCATGCCAGCCTTCCAGAAAATACCTTCAGTGTAACCGATAATCACCACTAAATCACACTGAAATTGGCCCAGACTTAGAGAAGACCCTTACAGCAGAAGCTCACAATCTTTCCTTGAGAAGGAGTGATTCTCAAAGCTGCATTACAAATTCATTTCTTTCCCAGAAATAATA